CAGTTTGAGACAACCAGCCGCTCCGAGGAAGAAAGATGAGGCTTTCTACTCCCATAAAGATTAACAGTCTCAGAAACCCACAGGGGCAGTTCTACCCTGCCCTATAGGGTCACTATGAGTTAGACTCAACGATGAGAGTTTGAGTCCTAAGTGTACCCTCAATAAAAGTTTCCTCATCCAAATAGTTAATAGGTCATAAGACTGCTAAGGCCTGGTGATCTGCTTGGGGGGTGGGTGGGGGCGGAGAAAAGCCTTTTAAAATCCTATTGGGGCCTAGTTTTCTCTCTCTCTCTCTCTTACACACACACACACACACACACTGAGCCAGTCAGCTCCTAAACAATTGGTTGAATAACGTCTTCTGAAAAACTGGTTCCATCTTTAAAACTGTCTTTCTGTGATTTGTTTGGGTTAAACTCTGGGTTCTTCCCATAATTGTCCCAAGTTCCTTTCATGTGCCACCCCCAGGCTACGTGTTTAAAACAGACCTTGTACTTCTCGGGCATAGCTTCTAATCTCCTTGGCATTTGACTTTGCTAATTTAATTCTTTCTGTCCAGTTCAGTCTTTTGCTCCAACAGGTTCGGCTCTGTGTGATGGAAACGTCTGCTGAGTGAGCCTGTAGTACCGAATATCCAGCGACCTAGCATGCTGTCACCACTCCCCATATGACTGCCGAGTGACTCATTCATACATAGCCAACTGTGTTTGTTTACTAGGTGTCTGGTGCATCTAAAAGAAATTATAATGATAATACATAGTACATCATTTTCATTAAAACAAAACAAAGCAGAAAGAGACTTACTGGTCAGACAGAGACTGGTGGAACCCTGGAGACTGTGAGCCTTCACCACTCTTCACATCTGGAACTGAACTGGCCCCGGGGGCTCAACTTCCAGTGAAACAATATTAAACAAACAAAACACAAACTCTCTGCCACGGAGTCACTTCCAACTGACAGCGACCCTCTAGGACAGGGTAGAACTGCCCTGCGGGTTTCTGAGACGGTGACTCGTTACGACACTAGAAAGCCTCTTCTTTCTCCTGCAGAGCGGCCACTGTGTTTGAACTGCTGACCTTGCAAATCACAGCCCAATCCATCACCACTGTGCCAGCAGGACTCCATAGTCAAGCAACAGACAGCCCCACAAGAGGGCCAATAACACCAGGGAGATACTCACTCCTCCACCCTTTGAGATCCAAAGGGCAACATTCATATAGGTCAATAAAGAAAAAAGCGTGGGAATGGGCCAGGGAGGAAACAGTGTGAGGCATGGTGCATTATGGGGATGGCCATTCATGAGATGAAACAGAATGTATACACACTGTTCAGTGGAAAACTGATGGGCTTTGTAAACCTTCAACGAATTCGTAATTAGAGTGTTCTTGTTTTTCCATTCCCCTAAATAACACAAGGAAATAAAGTATAATACTGTAGAAAGGTTTGGTGAAAAGAATCAACCACTGTTTCTTGAGAGGTGGAGCATAATTCTGACTCACAAGCACCCTGTTGGACAGGGTAGAATGGCCCCAGTGGGTTTCTGAAACCCTAACCCTTTATAGGAGTAGAAGGCCCTGTCTGTCTCCCTCAGACTGGCTGGTGGCTTCAAACTGCTGACCTTGAGATTCGCAGCGTAACTCATGATCTGCTATGCCACAAGGGCTCATGGGAAGAATATCAGCCATATTGAAGTCTCTCCATTAATCAGACACCCGTTTGGAGATGGCCTGTTTGGGGATGTTTGGGGCAGAATCCCTTTGATTTGAGTACAATTGCTTTGGACTACTTAGTCAGGGACTCGGACAAAACCAGACGACTCCTTTGCTATGCTCCATTTTACAGACGGGGAAACTGAGGCCAACAACCGGCTCTGATTCTCCCCTGGGAGAGCTGGGTGTGCAATGCCGAGCTCCGGCCTCTCAGGACTTGGAAAGGGCACTGGGTCCTTTAAAAATACTTTTGGTTGCTTTAATAGCACCAGCACCTGTTGTCTCAGCTTCCGCAAGAGAGGAGCTATTAATTTCTGCCTCATCAAAGCTGGGTTTCTGGTCTGTCTGAACCGTGTCTCCTTGTGACTGCAGCTGTCTGCACACGAAGGCCACATGCCTCAGAACAGGACAAGACACCTATCTGCTGCACCCCATCCCCCACCCTCTGCTAAAGAAAACCTTTTAAGTGGCACAGCTCAGGCAGGTAGTGGCCAAATGTATGTTCTTTCTGCAGAACCCTCTGCATTCCACCTGGTCGCAGAAGCCTGATCACTCACCAGGGAAAGAGGTTGAAAGCTACCATCAAGAGCTGATCCCCCAGTCTCTTCCTCTATCCCTGCCACTCGGCTGGGTCTGTAGCCAACTGTGGCCAGGACATCAACTGCTGGAAATCGGGAGAAGACAGCTCATGTGGGAAGCAACTTCATGATCTGTTAAAGGCAAAGTAAGGACAGGATGTTAAGAAGCATCGATATAAAACCATAGAAGCGGTTCTGAAACCAACGTATCAAACCTGAAGCTTCAGTGTGTCTACATGTGCTCCAGCCAGGCTTGGAGACATTCTGGCTCCTTCTCGCCAACCTGCTCTCATGATACCACGTCAGAGCGACCGTTTTGAGACATCCTTACGAATCTCAAATCATGTTCCTTTGAAATGCGGTTTGAGTTTGGGGGGGACAATACGGCTGAAAGGACAAGATCAGGGCTGGCGGGTGGATGGGGTCAGGTTTCCCCATGCAATTGTTATAGGACAGCCCCTGTTGCTGTCGAAGAACCAGCAGATGCACTTTCCTGATGGAAAAGGATTACCAGGGGGCACCTTTCCTTATGACTTCTCGTTGATAAGCGCCCCCACCCCCGAGAGTGGTCCTGTGTCCTGTGAGAAGCTCCATCAAGAAGGGAATCTCCAAACACAGGTCTTCATGATTTTCTGAGCTGACTTCTCGGTCCATCAAAACTCTTCATCCATCCGAAGGCGGGGGACCCCATTTCTGTTATTATTGCCAAGCTTCAGGGAGTTGGAAAATGATTTGGTAAAAACTTTCATAGGAGCCCTGACCTCGATGCCGTTTCTTCCTCGCGGCCTCCAAAGGATCCCATTAGTCTTATTTTTGGATGGCACCCGATGGGACCTGTCGGTCTTGGGTGCCATCGGCTTAGTCCCGACTCACAGTGCCCCGTGTACAACAGCAGGAGGAAACCCTGCCTGGTCCTGCGCCATCTTAACTGGACTTCGTGTGTTTGTTCGTGTGCATGTTCTTGCAGCGGCTGTGTCAGTCCATGTTGTTCAGGGTCTTCCTCTTTTTTTTTTTTTTGCTGCCCCTCCACTTTACCAAGTATGATGTCCTTTTCCAGGGATCGGTCCCTCCAGTCCCAAGTACGTGCTTCCAAGGCGCATTCTGACCGAACTCCCTGCAAGGCAGAGATGGGTTCTTTTGGCAGTCCCTGGTACTTCCCAGCACCATGATTCAAACGCAGCGATTCTTCTTCTGTCTTCTTTTTCAGCGTCCAACTTTCACACATGAATATGAGGTGATTTTAAATCCCCTGGCTTGGGCAGGCGTACCTTAGTCCTCCAAGTAACACCCTTGCATTTCCACACTTAAAGAGGTTTCCCCAGGTAACTAGGAGACTAAGGCAAGCATAGGACTGAGAGATCCTGTCTATGCCACCCACTGATTGCAGTTCTCACAGCCTTGAGTCAATGCTGACTCCCAGAGACACTATAGGGTAGGGGGGAGCTGCCCCCCGTGAGTTTCTGAGACTGTCACTCTTTCTGGGATCAGAAAGCCCCATATTTCTCCCGAGGAGCAGCTGGTGTTTTCGAACCGCTGACCTTGAGGATCCAATCCAACGCGTAACCATGAGCCACCAGGGCTCCAAGTGTAAACACGTTCTGCTGGGCATAAGACCAGGCGCGTGTGAACTGGCTCCCCTAGCAGCCGTACTTTTGACTGTCCGGATTATACCTCTTTGGGAAGTTCTGCGACTCGATCCAAATTCAAATTTGGAGAAGCCCGTTGCGTCGGGGGTCAGGGTCACTGCTCGTGTGTGTCCGCGAGGTCTGCGCTGTGAGCTGCTGGTTCTCCAGCGCACCGGTGGCACGGCGGCAAGGCTCCGACCAGGGGTGACCAAGGGTGTCCCTGGAGAAGGGGCTGGATCCCGGAGCCCGGCTCCGCACCTTGGGGCTTCCAGAGGGGCGGGGAGACCGCGCAGCACGCATGCGCGCCGGTGCCCGGCGCCTATAAGAAGGCGGCGCAGCGGCGCCGCGCGGACTCGGACGCTGGTCTGCTGGCGTCCGGCGAGCAGCGGTGCGCGGTCTCTCCCGGCGCCGCACGGAGGACCCGGAGCCGGACGGAGGTCCTAGGTGCCTGGGGACCAGACACAGCCTGGGGTGGGGACGGGCGCAGAGCTCCTGGACCCGCGCCCAGAGGTAGCCGGACGCGCCACCCGGACCTCCCCCATCCGGCCGGTGGCGGATCCCCGGGCGCCCGCGCAGGGGTGTCGGCGGCTCTGGGCAGGGCGCTCGCGCGGCCGGCCGGAGCCATGCGGACCAAGTTGGGGGCGCTGGAGGCTGCGTGCCACCGACCGCTGCCCGGAGCCCTGCGCGCGCCTCCCGCCGCCGGCCGCTGAGAGCGGAGTGAAGTTGGGGGACCCGAGCAGGACCCCGAAGTGCGGCGCTTTACCGGACTCGGCGGTCGGCTCCTGGGAGACGCGGGCGGAGCGTCCCGTGTGAGTGAAGCCCCGGGGACCCGCTCACTGCACCCCGGCAGCCACCAGTAGTCCCGCCGAGGGACAGTGGGCAGCTATGACTTAGTTGGCGCCACCCGGACGCTGGGAAGTGGCCCGAGCCCAGGGGCGCCCCGGCCGCAGCAGCAGCAGCAGCAGCAGCAGCAGCAGCAGCAGCAGCAGCAGCAGCAGCAGCAGCAGCAGCACCGAGAGATCGATCGGACTACGGGACGAGGCTCTCCTGGCCTCCAAAGCCGCGCCGCCCGCGCCCAGGGTGGGGCCATGTGGCCCGGCCGCCGCCCGGCCGCCGCCTCGGGGACCGCCAGGGCGCTGCTGCCGCTGCTGCTGGGCGCGCTGCTCGCGGCGTGCGCGCAGGCGAGCGGCGAGTACTGTCACGGCTGGTTGGACGCGCAGGGCGTCTGGCGCCTCGGGTTCCAGTGCCCAGAGCGCTTCGACGGCAGCGACGCCACCATATGCTGCGGCAGCTGCGCCCTGCGCTACTGCTGCTCCAGCGCCGAGGCGCGCCTGGACCAGGGCGGCTGCGACAACGACCGGCAGCAGGGCGCCATCGAGCCCGGACGGACAGATAAGGACGGCCCCGACGGCTCTGCAGGTAGGGTCCGGCGGGCTGGCGGGAGCCTGGGAGCCAAGGGATGGAAGGAGCAGCCTCGGAGTCTGCGATCTGGCACACGTAGGGGTGTGTGTCAAGCTGGCCTCGGTTTCCCCGTTTGTCAGCGATGAGGTGGGTGGAGGGGCGGGACCCACCATGGAACCACATTCCTATGTGCGCGGTGGGGTGGGGGTGATCCTTTGAGACCCTCCCATGCCTTCACTTCTAGCCAGGCATGCCAGGAAATGGTGGCCACACGCCCCCTTAGGAGGGGGCCTGGCCAGGGCAGCCCCGTGAACTCCCTTTAGAAGGTAGGCTTACCTTTTTCTCCAATTAACCGCCTGCTGTCTTGTGTATACCAACTCTCAGCCAATCCGTACTTTATAGAACTCTTCCCTGGGGTTCCAAGGCTGGAATCTCTGTGGGAGCAGGAAGCCACCTCTTTCTTTCACAGCCGCGCAAACGGTTCACTAGCAGCCCCTCGCCTCACCGCCCCCCCTCCCACGCGGCACGCCAAACCATTGGGCCCCCCTTGACTCCTTTAGCAGACCCTGTAAACAGGACCGCTTCCTGGGCGCCAGGTGGTCCAAGGTCTCTGCACCCCTCTTGTCACATCAGGCTTTTGGGGTGTGACAGCAGCGGCAGCCCAATGCTGTCTTTGTGGCACCCCCAGCCCAATTTCCTGTTTTATTTTTCCTGAATTGCCTAAGTCCGAGTTGGCAGGTAAACATCCATGATTGAGTTTGATAGGTTCGACCTCCTACTTGTCAGAAGCCTTTCCCAGGCTGACGCCCAGAAGGGCTGGAACCAGTAAGTAAGGGCTCTCTCTCTCTCTCTCTCTCTCTCTCTCTGTATGTATGTAGGTCTGGGGTGACAGGACTCGAGGTCAAGTGGTGCACAGTGGGATGAAGGATGTATTTTTGAGAGACAGTTTCTAATGGCGCCTTTAGGCTGCTAACAGAAAGGTGGGCAGTTCAAACTCACAGGCCACATGTTGGAAGAAAGATGAGGCTGTCTGCTCCTGGATACATTTACAGCGTTGGAAACCCTGTGCAGAGTCCCTGTGAGTCGGAATGAGTCGCTATGACTGGATGGCAATGGTTGTTTTTTTTTTTTAAGTTAACCTAAAACCAACCAAACTCTGGCCTTGAAGCCATGCTGACTCATAGTGCCCCTGTGAGATTCCAAGCCTGTAACTAATAATAGGAGTAGAAAGCCTTGTCTTTCTCCCTTGGAGTGTTTCAAATTTGTGACCTTGCCGTTGGCAGCCCAACTCTTAACCACTATGCCATTGGGCAGGGCTCTTTTGGACTCTGTAACAACACCCTGAGCTCCCTGGGCTGGGATGAGGGGGGTGTGTAGCTTCTGGTCTTGACAGAAGGGTCTCCCCAGGCTGGGCCAGGGCAGCCACCTCTGCAGTCAGGCATTTAATCTGCACGCTCCTCCCCCATTCTGCTGCTGGAATCTGAAAAGAGATGGACTAAGAGGGTGGTACCTCCTCCAACTCCAGTCCAGTGGGGCAGAGAAGGGAGCCGGAGAAGCCCCAGAGAGGGCAGCCACGGGTGCTGTGCAGAGGGTCAGTTGAGCTGGGCTCCTCAGTAGGCAGCTGGTATAGCTTTGTGATGCCATCCGGGGCTTGAGCATGGGTATGTACCTAACTACCTTTAAAACTTCACCCCCTCGCTCTCTAAAAAGTCTCCCCGTCCTATCTGCAGTCAAGGACCCCCCCGCCTAATTAAGCAGTTCTGAGTGCCTATATAAAATAAAATAAAACCCACTGTCATCAAGTTAATAATCCACTCATGGAGACCCTGTAGGACAGGCTAGAACTGCCCCTGTGTGTTTCCGAGACTGTAGCTCTTTATGGGAGTAGAAAGCCCAGTCTTTCCTTGGTTAACAGCCCGACCCGGAATCAATCCTCTGAGCCCTGTGGAGGCAGGCTCCCGTTCTCACCCTGAAACTGCACTTGTGCTTCTGGGGAGAGAGCCCTTGCTTCCCTCCACGAACAGTTTTTGAGTTTGGGGGCTACTCACAGCTGGATTTGGCACTCAAGTTTGGTGTGGTGTTTTTTTGTTCCCCTTTCTCTGAGTTTTACTGTGCCTTTGGTAACTTGTTTGGGGACCAGCCTCTTTGAGACAGACGTTTTATGCCAGGCAAAGGAGAAAGCACAGAGGTTGCTGTCCCAGGAGGTAACCTGGAACCCAAACCCACTGCCATCGAGTCAATTCCCAGAGCATCATAGGACCCTGGGGGATGAGCAGACTGGCTCCCATGGCTATCCAAGGCTGGAGAGCTTTGTCGGAGCAGACAGCCTCCTCTTTCAACCTCAGAGGGGCTAGTGGATTTGAAGCACCAGCCTTCAGTTAGGAGATCAAAAGCTTAACCCACGACACCACTTGGGTTCCCTCTTTATCCTGGCTGTATAAATAGACCGGAAAGGCTCCGGTTGTTGCTGCAGCAAGTGTTTCTATGTATGAAAAGGGGCAGCATGCTATATGGTACTTTAGGAGGCCAATGATGCAGTTGGATAAGCATTGGACTGCTAACTCAAGGTTGGTGGTTCAAACCCAACAGCTGCTCTTGGAAAGAAGGATGAGGCTGTCAGAAGTCCTCCATAGGACTGTTCTGAATCAGACTCAACTCAACAGCAGTGAGTGGACATAGTCCTTAGGTACCCTGGTGGCACGGTGTTTAAGCACTTGGCTGCTAACGGAGAGAAGCATGAGGCAGTCAGTTGGCTTCTGTAAAGATGACAGCCCTGAAAATGGAACCGTGAGAAGCTGTGCTTCTCCATGCTGCAGGGTTGCTATAAGTCAGAATCAAAATAACTCCACTGCAGTGAGTAGGCTGTGGGCAGGTAGTTCTTGCTCAGCTCATTACTGGGACACAGTTGTTAGCCTTTGTATTTAATAACATATTGCATCCTTCCACCACTGCTCAGTGGAGGGAGCCCCAGACAGCTAGAGCAGTCAGCAGAAGCATACTTTAGAAAGTCTAGTCTTTTCACAGACAGCCAACTGCTCTTCCAAGTATCTGACCTGTGAGGTGCTGGGAAAGGTGCCTGCTTCAAGGGGCTGTCCCACAGGACTGGGCTGGCACTGGGCTGTGCCAAAACAAGTCAGAGCCAGCCCCTGCCTCCTGTGCTTTTCAATCAAAATGTCAAGGCGCACTCCCTCAGGAGACTGGAGGTCCTGAGCAGCCCAGGGTGATTCAAGAATTCAAGGACTCCTGTCCTGCCCCATCAGCCTACTGCTCTGGTTTCTGTAAGCTTTGTAAGTGCTGTCTACAGAGCCACAAAACCAAACTCAAAGCCCTCGAGTCCATTTTAACTCAGAGCAACCCTATGGGAGAGGGTAAAATTGCCCAGCGAGTTTCCAAGACTGCAACTCTTTACTGGAGCAGAAAGCTGCATCTTTCTCCTGCGGAGTGGCTGGTGGTTTCAAACTACTGGTTTTGTGGTTAGCAGCCCAGTTTGTAAACACTATACAACTAGGATTCCACTCTCTCTTTCTATGGCTTCTAGAATATATGCAGGTGTATAAAAAAACCAAGCAAAATATTTTAAAAATACAATTTTAAAAAGTAAAACACTTGGTTCTAGTGAAGGCTCCTTAATTTTACTTTATTTTTATTATTGTTTTACAGAATAAATCTCACTCGTTACATATGAGGGGACTTCAAACTGTTTGTTGCCTTTCCATTCTATTTTCTAAAAAAATTTTTGAAGCCCCTTCGTATATATCTTTTTTTCTTTTTTTAAGGAACCCTGGTGGTACTGTCAGGTTAACACTGACTGCCAACCACAAGGTTGATGGTTTGAGCCTACCGGTTGGTCCATGGGAGAAAGATGAGGCTGTCTGCTCCTGGGAAACCTTGTGAAGAGTCGCTCAGAATCGACTCGATGGCAGTAGGTTTGGTGTGAGTCTGGGTGTGGTGATGGTGTCAGGCCACCTCATGGAGGGTCACCCTCGATTTGCTGACTCTGTTTTACCAACCATGGCGTCCTTTTCTGGCATGTTTCCTGATGACGAATCCAAAGCAAGGGAGCCAGAATGTCTCGCCATCCTCCATCTCTAAGGAGCATTCTGGTTCTGGTCTTGCCAGGCGGGGTTGTGTTTCACCTGGCAGCCCCTGGTGTAATCAGTAATCTTTGCCAACAGCACAATGCTAAGGCATCAGTTTTTCTATCTTGCTTTTTCAATGATCTCTTAGGGCAGGTGTAAGTCTAGGCAGATCAAGTATGTGAGGAATTTTAGAACTATAAACATCTTAAAACATTAAATCCATATTGTTTATGCAATTATTACTACTACTACTACTACTACTGCTACTGCGTTTTACCCAACTGGCCACTTGTCTCTAACTGTATGGAGTCTAACTGTAAAGATGAGCACTTTTGCTTGTGAGGAGGGGGGCAGGGGTAGACCACTCCGCTCCAGGCCCTTTACCACTGTTCCCCCAACCAACTGATGGGTGGCTGTCCTGTCGGTCCTGGTTCCTGGCGACCCCACGTGTGTCAGAGTAGGACGACATCCATAGGGCTTTCATTGGCTGATGCTTTTGGAAGTAGATCGCCTGGCCTTTCTTCTGAGGCACCTCTAGGTGAACGCGAACCTCCAACCATTCCATTAGCAGCCGAGCGCAGGACTCAGGGACTCCATCTTTCCCAAAACCCAGGGCCACGGAGTCCATTGCAACTAGAGATGGTTTCCTTCGAGTGGCTGGTGGATTTGAACCTCGGACCTTGTGGATAGCAACCTACCACCTCACCCACAGCGCCACCTCTGGTGAGGTGAAGGACTGAGCATCCTGTGGGCTAACACTGAGGGAGCACACCGCCAGCCCCGCCCATGCTCCGCTTGACTCCGCCCACTGCCACGCTGGGCGGGGCTTGCTCTTGCACTGCGTTCTGATTGGGTGGGCCCGTGGCACGTGACCCCTCCCATCGCCACACTGGGCCGGGCTCCTGAGCGCATGCTGATGGGAATTCACATTCTAGGTAATGCTGCCCATCACCCCTCTGGCTCTTGCAGCGCCCTGATTGGGTGTCTCTGCGTGATGGTGCCCATCACCACACCTGGCGGGCTCGGGCAAGCGCGCCCTGATTGCGTGTGTCTGCTCTCTCCCCAGTGCCCATCTACGTCCCGTTCCTCATCGTGGGCTCCGTGTTCGTGGCCTTCATCATCCTGGGCTCCCTGGTGGCGGCCTGCTGCTGCCGCTGCCTCCGGCCCAAGCAGGAGCCCCAGCAGAGCCGAGCGCCCGGGGGCAGCCGCCTGATGGAGACCATCCCCATGATCGCCAGCGCCAGCACGTCCCGTGGCTCGTCCTCCCGCCAGTCCAGCACGGCAGCCAGCTCCAGCTCCAGCGCCAACTCGGGCGCCCGGGCCCCGCCCACCAGGTCACAGACCAACTGCTGCCTGCCCGAGGGCACCATGAACAACGTGTACGTCAACATGCCCACCAACTTCTCCGTGCTCAATTGCCAGCAGGCCACACAGATCGTGCCCCACCAGGGCCAGTACTTGCATCCGCCCTACGTGGGGTACACCGTGCCCCACGACGCGGTGCCCGTGCCGCCCATGCCCCCCTTCATGGACGCTCTGCAGGCGGGCTACCGCCAGGTGCAGTCCCCCTTCCCCCACACGGGCAGTGAGCAGAAGATGTTTCCAGCCGTGACCGTGTGACTCCCAGGAGGGTCACAGGTTACCTGTGGCTGGCTCCCTGTTGGGTGCATCTGCCCCGTACCTAGTGTCTCTGTGGCTGCCTCTGCCTCTGTGGCGGATGCATGAGCCTTCACAGGGCAGCCCCGTCTGCCGCTGGTGGTTTACAAGGCGAGCACTTGAGCCCTGACGTGCCCCCTGGTACAGATGTCAAAAGAATCCCATCAGCGGACAGATGAAAGGTTTCTCATGAGGTCACGCTTAAGATTCCTGTTTCGTGATTCTCTCCACTACGTCAGATGGGCGGGGACCGTCATTTTTCTTGGGCCAGTTTCCTCAGTGTTTCACACCCAAGCTGGAGAGGCGAGGCCATGGCGGTGAGAAAAGGATTCCCGTGTGGAAAAAGGATTCCCGTGTGGAATACTCGGAAGCCCTGTAGAAATACACATCTGTTTGTCACGCTTGTGATGGTACTGCTTGTCGAGGGCTGATCATTCTACGTTAAAGTGATCTTCCACATTAAAAACTGAGAGTGGGAGAAATTGCAGTCGCCTAACTATTGAGGACGTTTCCGAACTGGCCGATGGCTTCCGTCTTGAACTGCTGGGCGAGGTGGTGGCACAACCCGCCTTCCTCGATGTCCTGACCACCCGTGGCTTGTGGGGAGGACCCACTCCTCAGATGCTTTTTTGTTTGGGGTGTTTTGGGGTTCTTTTGCTTGTGAACGATCCTTCTCTGCTTTCCCAAGATACTTTTAATGTGTCCCGGTGGCGTGTGACTGCCACTTCCTTCTGTCTGGTTGTCCCATCCCAATTCCCAGAGTACACAGCGTGGGCGATGAGCACCGTCAGACATGAAGGCCAGTGTTCCCGCCTCTCAGAACGCACCCTCCGTCTAAAGCCACTGCCCTTGAGCCCATCCCAGACTCAGTGACCCTGCAGAACAGAATGGAGCTGTTCCTTTAGGGTTCCCGGGCCAGGTAAGGGAGCAGGGAGCAGCCTCTGTCTCCAGAGGAGCAGTGGGGGGTTCCCATCTGCTGACCTTGCGGTGAGCAGTCAGCTTCATTAAGCACTACACTCCCAGGCTCCGTGTATTTCTGCCACGATCTTCTCGTTTCACCGACTGAAAATGCCCAGGTGTGCTTCCCCCTGATGCTTAGGCTAGCTCTTCAAGCGAAGACGTGGAGTAGCGTAAGCCGCAGATAGAGATTCCCTTTGCAAGTCATTGTGGCCATTGGGTTTTTTACTCCCGTTGTCAACATCGTTGCCTTTTTTCCAGGCGCGGGGGATGATTCAGACAGGAGCAAACTTTGCAAGGACCAGGTGCCTTTCGCTCGCCATCAAGTGGGGGCTTCACATTCTTCATGCTCTTCCCTCTACAAGCCCAATGCCCATTGCCCTTGTTCTGAGTTTGGAAGGTCAATCAGATTTCTTTCTGCATTGTTTACTTATGTTTAAAAAAAAAGGTACATTTTTAAGTATGCGTGAGCACATGTCCAAATGCTAGCAAAACCAACACTTGTCGTTAAACAAAGCTTTGTGAGATTTATATCTGCCCAATGACAATCATGTAAAACTGTTGGCAGCCATCAGTATCGAGGTTACTCCATCTCTCTTTTATTATTATTGTTATTTTTGGAGATAACCACAGACAGGGGAAATCATTTTGTTGATGAATAAATGTTTTCTGAGGTGAATGCTTAGGGGTGTTGGGGTTGTTTTTTTTTTTTACTTTCCAGTTGGGGATTTCTCAGATGGTTCATTAAACCGGCTAAGCTGATAAAATGGCTAAAAGGCAGAAAGACTGCTTTTGGGAAACATTAGCCTACTTTGAGAAGTGATGACTACGTTGAGAAGTTGATATGTACACTCCTTGAGTCAACAAGCATTATTTTAAGTATTCTAGGGGAATACATTCCTGGTGGAGTGGGTATGCACTGGGCTGCCAATGGCAAGGTCAGCAGTTCAAAACCACCAGCCACTCCAAGGGAGAAAGATGAGGCTTTCTACTCCCATAAAGAGTTACAGTCTTGGAAACTCACAGGGGCAGGTCTACCCTGCCCTACAGGGTGGCCAGGAGTCAGAATCAACTCAATGGCAGTGTGTTTTTTGTTTGTTTTTTAGTAGAAACGTTGACAAAAGAGACAGTTCTTGTCAAAGCAGTAGATGTGTTTCCTAGACTGCTGTGAAGGGAGAATTCCTCTCTGCCAGGAAAACCTGAAGAGCCACCCAGCTGATTCCAACCCATAGTGAGCCGGTGTGTGTTGGTTGGGGTAGACCCGTGCTCCATCGACTCCTCGCTGGTTGAGTTTTCAGAAGCTGACTGACTGCCAGGCCTGCTTCTCAAGGTGTTTCTGAGTGGTCTGGAATCCCTAACCTCTCCGTCAACAGCTGAGCTCCTTTATTTGAGAAATCACCTGGTCCAGGGATGGAAAACGTTTCTTCTCGCAGGAGAAGGCTGGGTGATAAATCGGAGGGGAGGTGACGATGCATTGGCAGAAAATCACAGAAGCCGTCATTAGAAAGAGCAGAGTGGAAGACTCTTGTTTCTAAGCACGGTCGTCCAGCCAGCTCAGTGCCCTTCTGAAGGTGATGGATGCATCTTCTGTACTCTTGGATTTACACCCTGGTGGAGAAAGGACTTGTAGCATCTTTAAGGAACCCCCATTGTGATCCCTGTCAATGTTGTCTAAATTTGGGGGACACACAGAAAATTGGAAAGGGCAAGATCAGGACCGGAGGGCAAATGGGCTTAGGTTTCCCAACAAAGTTCCTGGCCAGCCCTTGCCTCAAAGAATGAACAGGTGCCTTGCTTGATATTTTGACGGAGGGAAAACAACAAAAAACATTCCTCAGCACAAATTTCCTTCTTGTTTTATCAACACTGCAGTTTTCAGCTTCTTAAAACTTCATCAAAAGTCTCCATGATGGGCATGTGCTTGGAGAAAGTGGACGCCTTTGGAATGCCCCAAAGCAGTCACCAGATGCACTTGGGACATACTCTCAGGAGAGGCCGGTCCCTGGAGAAGGACATGCTTGGTAGAGTAGAGGGGCAGGGACAAAGAGGAAGACCCTGGACAAGATGGACTGACACAGTGGCTTCCTCAGGGGGGCGTAATTAAGCATAAGAACCACGATGAGGGTGGCACAGAGCCAGGCGGGGTTCCATTCTGTTGTACACGGGTCGCCATGAGTCAGAACCAACTCGACCCCTAACAACAACAACAACAACAACAACATAACCTTACAAGCTGACCTCCCTGCCCTTTCCTGGCCTAGCAGATCCCCTCAATAACCTTATGCAGATTGGACCTTTTTCGTTTTGGAAGGAGACTAAGAAGCCGTAAGGTTCAACATTGAGTGGCTAACCAAAAGGGTGGTTAGAATCCACCAGCCACTCTACAGAAGAAAGTGGAAGCAATTATACCCCCAAAGATTTACAGCCGTTCTAGCCAATTCCACAGAGTCAGGGTTGGGTTGGGTTGTTAAAGCGCCCGAGACAAGTGCCTTCCCGAGAGAACTTGACTGCAGCCATCCGCTGATCACAGAGACACGTTTAAACATGTTTAAACATGTTTCGTTGGAAATCGCTCCAAGCATGTACGAGCTGGAACCCTTGTAGCAATTCTTGCTGACGGCCCATGTCCGTCTGTCTTGCAGGGAACTCACTGCTGTGGAGCTGATTCCAACTCCTGGCGGTGGGTGCTTCTGAGGGTGTAAATCTTTACCTGCCTCCTCTTGTCTCCCGTAGAGCGGTGAATGCATTTGAACCGCCAACCTTTCATGAAGAGCTGTGCCAACGCATTGCCAAAGAGCCACCAGGACTCCAGAGCCATGTAAAGAAAGAGCTGCACTCAAATAATTCAGTGCTGTCAGTTGATTCTAACTCAGAGTGACCCCCCTTCAGGGCAGGGTAGAACTCTCTCTGCTGTTGCTGACTCATAGTGACCCGCTGTGGATCTCCGAGACAGACTGTTTACACGAGTCGAAAGCCCAGTCTTTCTCTCAGAGCTGCTGGTGGTTTGCAAGGGCGACCGTGCGAATTGCAACTCAATGCCTAACCACTATGCCACCAGGGCTCCTGTGGGGTACAACTGTCCCTGCAGATTTCCAAGACTAACTCTTTATAGGAGTAGAAAACCCTGTCTCCCTGGAAGTGGCTGGTGGTTTCAAACTGCTGACCTTGTGGTTAGCAGGCCAACGTGGAGCCCACTATGCCACCAGGGCTGGTTAGGCGTTGGGATGCTAACCACAAGGTCAGAAGTTCGAAACCCCCAGCCGGTCCTCAGGAGACAGATGGTGTTTTCTACTCCTGTAAAGACTTAAACAGTCTCAGAAATCCACAGGGACGGTTCTACTCCTATAAGGTCACTATGAATTGGCATTGACTCCGTGGCAATTTGTTTTTGAGAGGAAAGAGCCTGTAGCATATACTTGGCTAGTAGACGTATTTTAAAGTCTATTTAAAAATGCCTTGAGGACATTTACAGAAAGACAAACAACTTGCTGCTTACACTTTTTCTCCTGCATCCAAACCTTTCCAGTCTGCTCCTGACCATTCCAGGGCAAGTCTTTACTTAGCGTATCAGACAGGCAAGTCCAGCACCGCTGAGTCCAGGGCTGAAATCCACCAGGTGTTTGTGTCCATCCCAGAGCCTGGACAGGATGCCTCAGCTCCTACCATCCCCACGGCTGGGAGAGCTGAGCGAAAGAAATGGCATTAACAGAAAGAGGCGAGTAGGCGAGGAAGCCTGGTGCATCTTCGCATCTTCAGACTAGCCTGCCACACCTGATGGCTTAAGTTCTTAGCTGCTGAACAAGCCATCAGTTTACTCTGTTCCATTGACCTGGGGCCTGTTCTTTCCTGATCTGCCGAGTCCTGAGCCCTGTGGTGCAGTGGGTTAGGCCTTGGGCTGCAAACCACAAAGTCAGCGGTTTGAAACCACTACCTGCTCCGAGGAGACGGGTGTGGCTTTCTACTCCAAAGAAGATCCACCGTCTTGGAAAACCCACGGGGCAGTCCTACTCTGTCCTCAAGGGTCACTGTGAGTTGGCATCAACTCCGTGGCCGTGAGTTTGGAGTTTGAGGCCTGCCCAGAGGAGATGGGGGCTGGGCCTGGCCAGGGGTTAAGGCAGGTGCTTCTCTGTTCCTAGTAGAGATCTTCTACCGGTGATCCACAAGGTCCAAAGCTTGAAACCGCCAGCGGCTCCACTAGAAAACCAGTTACCATTTCGGGAGCTCCCAGGGTCAGTCTACCCTGCCTTACAGGGTCCCTGTGACTTGGCATCAACTGGGTGGCAGTGATTTTGATTTGTGTTTTTCTGCTGCTTCAAACTCAGTACCACTGAGTCCATTCACACGTACAGTAACCCCCTACAGCAGAGCAGAACTGCCCCTGTGGGTTTCTGAGACTGGAAACCTGCCCAGGAATAGCCAGCCTCATCTTTCTCCCTCGAAGTGGCTGGTGGATTCAAACCACGGACCGTGTGCTTAGCAGCCCAACATATCGCCCACTCTGCCACCAGGACCCCTTTCCTGCCTTAAATCCTGCCATTGAACAGATGCTGACTCATCGCGACCCTGTAGGACATGGTAGAGCTGCCCCTGTGGGTTTCTGAGACTAACTCCTTATGGAAGTAGAAAGCCTGGTCTTTCTCCCTCCTGCCTTTAAAGGGGCAATTAAATATTTTGAGAAGGAAGGAAGCCTCAGACAAAGAACAGCAGTTCTCATCACTCACGTTTAATCCTCCTTTTCTTCTCCGGGCCCAGCTGGGACAGCCATGAAGACATCACCCTCGCCACCCTCCCTGGGTCTCTCTTTAAAAGCCAGAGTTCAACTATTTCCCTTCAGCAGCTGGTGGGTGTGGGCTGCTGAGGTGTCTGTTAATCCGCTCTCCCACCAGGGCCCCTCCCGGCAAGCAAAAATCTGTATGTGTTGAAACAACAACAGCAATAAAAAAACAACAGAACAAAACTTCTTTGTTTGTTGAATTCTTTGCTGTCATTAATTGCAAGGATAAATGCCACGGTGACGTACTTAAGTGCCTTTAAGACCACGAACAGGTCGCCGTTGGGTTGAGTCTGACTCCTGGGTGCTCCGTGTGTGTCACAGTGGGACTGGGCGCCCTAAGGCTTTCAACGGCTGGGGTGTTTTTTCAGATCTCCAGACAGCTTCTGAGAAACCTCTAGGTGGACTCCAACCTCTGGGTCAGAGGCCAAGTGTGGTAACTCTGGGCACCACTGGGGAACTCCACTGTGCCTTCAAGAGGGTGAGTGAGAGATGACAAAGGGTTAAAACTTACCTTTTCCCCGAAAATGAAAAGCTTGTTGAGGGCTATTTATTTACAAAGTTACTAACGGTTACTTAATTACAAGGATTCTTACTTACTTAAAAGGACATTGGCTTTCTGTAGTTTTCCCTCTGTGCTGCGGGTAAGGCGCTGGGCGTTGGTTCAAATCCACCAGCTGCTCTGAAGGAGAAAGATGAGGCAGTCCACCCCGGGAAGACTCATAGCCTCAGAAATCCTCTGTATGGTCAGTATGGGTTGGAATCAATGCTCCAGATTTGGGGTTTTCTCTAGTATGGAATCATTTGTGAAAGGAAAGCAAAAGGAAAACTGAAATCCTAGAAGCCAGTGTTCCCTGTCTAAAAATGTTAGGCAATTTTGGATGTAAAATGTACCCCAGACAGAGTGA